TGGATGCAACACTGAAGACAAAGGATGTGAAGCATTTGCATCTATTTCAATAACTTCATTTGCAACTGAAGATGTACCATTGCCACTAGATACAGAATATCTTAAATATAGCCCAAATGACGATATGACTGGAAGAATTGGCAAATTGATGTCCACATTATCTAAAATGGACTTATCTCTCCCAATTTGAGCTCCTTCTAAGCAATATGAATCGTCAGATAGTCTTGTTATAACAGTATTGAGAAAAAATCTTTAATTGAGTAATTAATCTCTCCCACTTGTAAAATAGTCCAAGGAAGGAGAGTTTTGATGGGATGAAGAAGATTCACATTAACATTCACTAAATGTACAGATGACATAACTCACTCAAACAAAGGAATAGCTAAAGTTAAATCAGCAGATGAAGTATACAAACCAACAGGTGAGTTATAGTAATGAGTAGATGAATTATATGAATACAAAAGACTAGGCAAATGAGCAGGTGAATTATACGAATACGAATGAGAAGGCGAATGAGTAGGTGAATTATACGAATACAAATGAATAGGCGAATGAGTAGGTGAATTATACAAATACGAATGAGAAGGCGAATGAGTAGGTGAATTATACAAATACAAATGAATAGGCGAATGAGTAGGTGGATTATACGAATACAAATGAATAGGCGAATGAGTAGGTGAATTATACGAATGGCAAATGAGAAGGCGAATGAGTAGGTGAATTATACGAATACGAATGAGAAGGCGAATGAGTAGGTGAATTATACGAATACAAATGAATAGGCGATGGATTATGCGAATACAAATGAATAGGCAAATGAGTAGGTGAATTATACGAATACAAATGAGAAGACGAATGAGTAGGTGAATTATACGAATACAAATGAGAAGGCAAATGAGTAGGTGAATTATGCGAATACGAATGAGAAGGCAAATGAGTAGGTAAATTATACGAATACAAATGAATAGGCGATGGATTATGCGAATACAAATGAATAGGCAAATGAGTAGGTGAATTATACGAATACGAATGAGAAGGCGAATGAGTAGGTGAATTATACGAATACGAATGAGAAGGCGAATGAGTAGGTGAATTATACGAATACGAATGAGAAGGCAAATGAGTAGGTGAATTATACGAATACGAATGAGAAGGCGAATGAGTAGGTGAATTATACGAATACAAAAGAGTAGGAGAATGAGTAGGTGAATTATACGAATTCAGACCACTATATGGATTGTACCAGGTCCAGACGCAACACTAAAAGTAAGAAAAGATAAAGAGGATTCTAAAGGAAATTATTGGGCACACCTGATCTCTTGCAAATACGCTTGTAAAACCTAATAGTCAGAGGAACAAGATCCACACCGCCATTTATCAGCCACTAGCCACGAGGTAGAGATAATAATGAAAAATACCGTAGGGTCGGGATATATTTGCGGTCATAAAAAATTCAATTAAAAACCATGGAAACCTGTTAGAGCGTTGCTATGACAATTAAGACCACGTGTTTAGTGTTCAGCTATTCATATATTCTTTAGCAGCTATAGTGGAGCCATTCACCAATAGCGAGTCCTTCTCTATCTGTTAACTTCTAATATGGACCGCTACCTCAGAGTTATTTCAGCCTCTTTGCTGCAAATTGTTGCTGGTCCGCGTGCTGGTGATAATAAACCACGCCCAAGTCAATAAACGCTAACTAGAATGGGTGGAGAGTCCCAAGATGCGGCGAGATAGTAGTTCTGTAAAGAACCGGTGACTGAAAGCAGCTCCAAATAGACCACAGCTTAGTAACACCAGAAGAATAACAGCTCAAGAACACTGCAGCAAGGTGCTTTCCTTCCATATCGCGCTGTTTTCAATTAAAATAACACCTCGGTTTCCATGGTTTTTAATTAAAAAATTTTTATGACCGCGAATAATTGCAGCCGCGAATATATCCCGACCATAGATTGTATTACTTAGTAACAGGGATTGGAAACTGATGACGTCACACGGACAGACTCTGTAATTAGTCTCGCAAGCCAGACCCTCCCCGCCTACGGTCATTTGGGTGGACGGCGGGGAGGGTCTGGTACATTGTCTACACTAGTTTTGTTCCGAGAGCGCGCAAAAAAAATGTTACGTAATGTATACGTAGATTGTGTCAATGCACGTCAAATGGAGAAAAATGGCCGCAGAACAGGAGGAAGAGCTCATCGAAGCTGCTGTTATTAATGCTGCCTCTGCTCTTGGGTTTTCTACACTTAAAGACGAACAAAAGTTCTGTATTTGCGAGTTTTTGAAGGGCAGGGATGTTTTTTGCCATTTTACCGACTGGTTTTGAGAAAACGATATGCTTTACAGTCTTACCAAGTGCTATTGATATATATGAGAAGAGAAAGGACGAGGAGAAGGCTATAATTATAGTAGTCAGCCCATTGACTGCCCTAATTATTGAACAGGCTCTACAGACGTGAGATTGGTCTATAAGCGAGTTGAGATCAATATCCATGTTGAGTTCCTGGCACCTTCTAGTTAGATAACGCTTCAAAATCACTGATACCTGGCTAGCAACTGCTCTAGATCCCTTAATCACATTCACATCATCACCACAAGCTAGACAAAAAGCGGCCATTTTGATCATGTGACAATTGTGTGACTATTGATGACAGTTCTCAATAACTTATTCTGATTGGTCACGTCCAATTCTGGACGCGAGAACAAAACTAGTGTAGACAATGTACCAGACCCTCCCCGCCGTCCACCCAAATGACCGTAGGCGGGGAGGGTCTGGCTTGCGAGACTACTCTGTAATGGTGGGAAAGCAATGGAAGGACTACACAAGCTCTTCTCCTAGTCTCCAACTGTATTAATTTGAATTTTATTTACTATCGATAATGAACAGATAGGTCTTGGGAGTTCATGACTGTTCTTTGTGACGGTTAAGCATAGTTTTGTTGACAGAATCTTCGCCGCCTCTCGCGGCCCATGTTATCATTGAAATTGCCTTTGTAATGGCACAAATTAACGAATACAGCTATTATTTTTCCAAAGTGCCGTCTGTGGCTTATATAATAGGCTAAAGGCATGTGAAAAACCCTGATCTTTGTTACAGTTTTTGTCCTTTATCCTAATTTTACTTTCTTTTTGTGATATAGGTTGAACAGATACGCCTCTAAAAACAGACATTTTGGGATCTTATGATCTGTATGAAGCACTAGTGATAATGAAAGTGTTTTAGTGGCACGTAGCTTTACTTGATGCATGTTTTTTATATTGACACTCTCTCAGTTTTAGTTACCCTTAGCAAGTTATAGGTTGAATAGATTTCACACCTATTACGCATGGTAAAAAAGCATGCTTTTTCTCATTTTTCTTCAAAATAAAGTGCTGTATTACAGCTTTAACAGTTTCTGATAAGTAAGCAAACCTTCAGCAACAATATAAGCTATATAACTGCCCTGGATCTGGCTTCAAGCTACACTTAATCCAGTAGTCCTCTCAGTCATATTGCTCTTGTCTCAACGAGCCGGGGAAGGGGCAGAGTCTTACAAGGTTCGTCCGCACCTGCTTTCATTAATTTGAATGAGATCACGTGATCTGTTTCCAATCCCTGTTACTTATACTAGGGCCACGTTGACTTTTCCACTCATTATAAATTCAACCTTCATAGGTCATCATTTAAGTAGCTGCCAATTATGAATAAGTGTTTGTTAAGTATTTGTTTATCTTAATGTTTACCACTAAGAATGTAATTAAAAAGTACAGTACATTTGTAATTTTTATTAAAACCAAAAGTATATAAATAAGAGATAAAAAATAGTCAAATGGCCTTGTAGTTGCAGCCTTGATATCATAGAGAAAGGCCGAGTTTTGGAGTTCCAGCCCAGGCTATCTGACTGGTGGAATTGCTCATCTAATCAGGTTCATCACTGGATTCACAACTGACATGAGTAATAAATAAACTCAGACACACTAAGTCTTGCTTGTACATCAAGCCTATCATTCTGCCAGTAGTGGTCCTCATTCCTCAAAGAAGAGAAAACCATCTGCGTGCCGGGCTGAACGGGAAGCCTTGAACAGTTTCATTGTCTTAAAATAAGACGACTTACTTGTAGCGTATGCTGTCCTCTTAAACGTTGCCTCTAATTGTCTTCGCCTGTGATTTCAGTCATATTCTTTGTCCTTTTCGTCTTATTTCCTTCCCGTTCCCTCTGCTGTTGAATCGCCGCCATTTTTCTTGCAGTCAGCTTACTGCCCACGTGTTCACGAAGCGTAGGTGGTAGTAATGGCGTAAGTACTTGCTAAGTGGCCTCGTGCTTTGATTTTTTCTTTCACTTTGACAAGCTTCGCTCTACTACTATCTTATATCAAAGGAACCCAAAATCCAAGCATTGCACAAAAGTGAAACACCGCCGTTTATAGCACTTAAAATAAGAAAGTTATTCAAAATTTAAAATGGCAAAGTCAGTGTGGCCCTACTATAGTAATACAATCTATGTCCCGGGCCCGACCTACGGTAATCGGGTGGTCACTATTTTACGGGACGGGACGGGACAAACGGGACAGGATACGCAGAAATAACCTATTTTGCGGGACAAGTAGGTGAGCAAAACGGAACCAGCTCAACATGCCTGTAATTTTTCCTTTAAACTGTAACTATATTTCAGAACCCAATTATGTCTGAAATTTACACAAACTGTAAATGTAAGCAATCATTATTCTACAATAATCAAGTTGTTCATTAATAATAATTATTATCCACTCTTAATTGTTATCATCAAGTTTATCATTGCATTGTATATATAGTCTCTTTTCCCTGAAAAGTAGAATTTCTTGCATCTTCACAAGAAACACAATTGTACTTAGCAATACCATGCAGTTGATTAATATCTATAGTGTATGACAAATTTCATATTGCATGACTACTAGCTGAATATCAGTGAATCAATAGCTCAAAATAATAAAGGTC